CGCTTTCGCTGCTCGGGCCTAATTAAAGCTGCAAGCAGCATCGTTCGGCCCTCGCAGCTCCGCGCCGCTCCGGCCTGGCCGGCAGCCCGGGGCACCAGGCCACGTCCGCCGAACCGAAACGTCGGCCACCCCGACACCAGAAACCGCTAACTGTCACCTCGTCCGCACCTCACCTTGACTCAGCATCCCCTCTGAGCCTACCATTATATTACATGTCTCACCACTAGGGCAAACTCTATTTTTACCACTCTGGTGGTGTGAAGACACAGACCAACTGTAATGCTTTTCTGACCACGTTTTTTGAAGTTATTGTAGGTTAAATTTATCCAGGGGGCATTGTGACCAATCACAGAATAATCGCATTAAGGTCAGCTTTGGTTGACAAAGATCGTTTTCTGTTATTTTGGCATCAATCAGACGTTGTGTGTTCTTTCTAGAGCCAGTGAGCTAAAATGGGTGGAGCTACAGGGATTTGAACCAACAACCACATCAATGTGTTTGGTGAAGTCACGTGATGTTACAAGCCAAGTATAATGCCATTCTGACCTCAGCACAGCTTACCAGTTTGCAATTTAATAAATAGCAATTGCACCACAAGTTGGTCCAATGAGTGTTGTTCTATAAAATAATCATTAGTGTATGTTTCAACCCAATAAATCTATGTGTTGTGCTGACATCATCAATATGTGTGACGTTATCTGGTAACATGTAGGGACTTACTGAATGGACTTCAGATACTGTAAACATGCTTCATGTCATATGTGTATTTTTTGCCGGCACCCAGATCCTATGTCATTATTGTGGGCGAGCTCATGTACTAGAGGCGTGATCCATCCCTCTTCATAACTTGTTGTTTTGTTATTTTGTTTTTCACATCTGTCTCACACAGAAATACTAATGAATGTAGGTTAAACCAGAATCAGTTTTATTTAAATTTATGTAGTAGCTGATTTAGTTTTATTTTACAGTGGGCTGAAAGGTGAATCTGTCATGGTCTGCGTCAGCCCCTTCCTTTTTTGTGCCTCCTGGTGTCCTCCATCCCTCTCTAGATTTCCTCTTGTGTCCCTTTGTTCCCCAGCTCCTCTTGTGCTCCACTCCAGGTTCCCCACTTGTGCTCTCTTAGTGCCCTCATGTGTCCTTGTCTGCATCCCTGTTATGTGTCTTATGTTGTAGCCCTTTGGCGCCCTCATGTGTCCTTTTTCTGCATGTCAGTTTAGTGTCATGTTATCTTTTCTACTCTTTCCTCCCAGGTCAGCTCCAGCCTTGTTGTCCCCAGCTCAGTGTGTGTGGGTGTATGTGCTATGTCCTCCTCCAGCTAGTTTGTGTGAGTCCTTCCCTCTGTCTTTAGGTAATTGTTGTTTAGTTTTGTGTTTAGGTATTTGCCCTCCTCTGTTTCTGTTTTTCCTATTGAGTTGATTAGTGTCACCTGCCTTCCCTCCAGCCCTCACTCCACACATCTGCTTCCTGTTTCCTTAATTTGTCTCCCAGTCTATTTAAGCCCGGTCTTGTCTCTGTTTTGTGTCGGTCCATTAATGTTTGTTTGATTTTGTCAGTTTCGACCCTTTGTGTTTAAACTAGAGTTTCTTGATCCCCAGATAATATCTGCTGTAACATGTAGGGACTTACTGAATGGACTTCAGATACTGTAAACATGCTTCATGTCATATGTGTATTTTTTGCCGGCACCCAGATCCTATGTCATTATTGTGGGCGAGCTCATGTACTAGAGGCGTGATCCATCCCTCTTCATAACTTGTTGTTTTGTTATTTTGTTTTTCACATCTGTCTCACACAGAAATACTAATGAATGTAGGTTAAACCAGAATCAGTTTTATTTAAATTTATGTAGTAGCTGATTTAGTTTTATTTTACAGTGGGCTGAAAGGTGAATCTGTCATGGTCTGCGTCAGCCCCTTCCTTTTTTGTGCCTCCTGGTGTCCTCCATCCCTCTCTAGATTCCCTCTTGTGTCCCTTTGTTCCCAAGGCTCCTCTTGTGCTCCACTCCAGGTTCCCCACTTGTGCTCTCTTAGCGCCCTCATGTGTCCTTGTCTGCATCCCTGTTATGTGTCTTATGTTGTAGCCCTTTGGCGCCCTCATGTGTCCTTTTTCTGCATGTCAGTTTAGTGTCATGTTATCTTTTCTACTCTTTCCTCCCAGGTCAGCTCCAGCCTCGTTGTCCCCAGCTCAGTGTGTGTGGGTGTATGTGCTATGTCCTCCTCCAGCTAGTTTGTGTGAGTCCTTCCCTCTGTCTTTAGGTAATTGTTGTTTAGTTTTGTGTTTAGGTATTTGCCCTCCTTTGTTTCTGTTTTTCCTATTGAGTTGATTAGTGTCATCTGCCTTCCCTCCAGCCCTCACTCCACACACCTGCTTCCTGTTTCCTTAATTTGTCTCCCAGTCTATTTAAGCCCGGTCTTGTCTCTGTCTTGTGTCGGTCCATTAATGTTTGTTTGATTCTGTCAGTTTCGACCCTTTGTGTTTAAACCAGAGTTTCTTGATCCCCAGATAATATCTGCTTTTTTGAATTTTGGATTTTTGGCTTTTTGACTTCCAGTTTGGATTAACCTTGGTTTTTGGCTCACCCACAAATAAAGACTTTTTACTTAAAATCTTCCTCCCTGCCTCCGTGTCATCCTGGGTACTGCATTTTGGGTCCACACCATCGTATCGTGACAGAATCAGCAAGGTTGTATAAACTCAGTTGACATTAGAAATTAATTCATAGTATTCTCCATAGCACTATACAAGCTTATTTCTTTTGTATGTTACATTTTAAAAACTGTGATTAGTTTAGATGTTATGCTTTTTTCAACAGATACCAGTCAGAGGGGACAAACAGGACATGTCAAGCTGCAAATCTGCAATCAAGCTCAGTCATGGAAAAGTCCACCCTCCTGTGGTTATCTTCCAAAGTTATAATCCATGTTTCTGTACTCCAACACAGCTAATTATGTTGTTGAATCATTGAGCAGAAGGTCATCAGGTTTTTCAAAAGCCTGTAAGTCACTTGCTGATTGAAATAAGGTGTGTTGAAGCACAGTTAAAACTAAAACATGCTAGCTACTGCTTTTCCAGGATCAGGAGAGAGTATGGCTGTTGTGGTTTGAAAAGGGCAGTGTGGCATTATTAGCTTTTCCACTTGAAGGCCTCATCCTCTCCTCCTCATCACATAAGAAAAGGGGAGCTGAGCTTAACTGTGCCCAAATTAATGTTTAAATAAATATTAACCTATTTTATAGAGGACTCAAGAGTGAATTTTGATGATGGTAGGGAGGTTAAGTGACTGTAGCTGTGCAGCTGAAATGTCTGGTGTGGACAGGATAAAGGAAGGGCCATAAAGATATGTCTGGAGAGCAGATTAGGTGAATTGAAGTAGGATGTAGCCTAGCCAAGCAACTATTGTAGTACTCAGTGGTGGGGTTTTGTGACGTCAGTTTGCTATTTAAGGTTGGGAAGAAATCTAGGGGCTGTAGGGTCAGGTTCCTGTTATAGGAAGGCAACGTGGATAGTGAATATGAATTTTAGGAGAGACCCTCTGTTTCCAGTTGTGAGGGAACATAATGCCAGAATAAAATGAATGTCAATTAGAACAACAACATAAATTGAAAAAAAATATGTTAACTAAATAAACTAGTCTATTATTAAAGTTTCTAAATAAAAGAATACTCCTAGACAAGTCATAACATTTATAAAGGTTTTTAAAAAATCTTACTTAGGTGAAGGGAAACTTATGAACAAGACAAAGTTAACAAAAACTACTAAATTATGGACTAAACAACAAGAGAAAAGAGGAGGAAAAGCGAATGTACATGGTCAAGCTGAAAGGATGAACATGAACGTATTTCCTGTTGGACCGGAAATACCGGAACGTGGTTTTATTTTTAAGGTCTGTTTATCATAGTCAATCCAAAAGATGAACATGAACAAACTTCCTGTTTGACTGGAAATGCCTGAATGTGGTTTTATTTTGAAGGTATGTTGAATCATGTCAAGCTCTAAGGATGAACATGCATGTACTTCCTGTGGGACCGGAAATACCGGAACGTGACTGTAATTTGAAAGTATGTGTAATCTGGGATGATTTGGCAATATGGACTCGCTAGTTACAACTTCTAGCAACTGTTGGCACGATGTATTATTTTTAAACTGGTGTATCTAATGACTTTTGGACAATTTAAATGTATGTTCCGTGTAAATTCACACTTTACCTGTGCGCCTGAACGCAGCATCAGGAGGAGCCAATGGTGAGCTAGACAACAAGGTGAAAGCTCTCTGATTGGATGTGGAGGTGCCGAACTACGCATCTTCCCGGAGCTAAACTATACCTAGCTGCGGACATTGCCCAGGAAAACCACGCCCAGGAAAAGCAGGCCCCCGGCCAAAACACCCCCCCCCCCCCCCCCCCCCCCCACACACACACACACACACACACACACACACAAAACACGCCCCCGCCCCCCTGTTGAGCTACTCCCGAGCTCAACAACGGCGAACAACACAATTGAAAGACAATAAATAAATAGTATTAACGTAATTAAACAGACAGAATTCCAGGTTTAAATATGAATGTATGGATTTTTTTGGCCATCCCTAGTGAGATTATTTTTGTTTCTTGCATACACACTTTATGGCCATCCCCAGTGAGATTATAAAACACATACCACCAACAAATAATCAGTAGCCGTACAATAATCAGTTGCCGGTAGGCACAACATACCTATGCTTACTGAAGTTAGCAGGTGAGTAATGTATGTGTAAGTGTTTATTCAAATGCAATAAAATTTAAAACCAGATAAAGTAATTAGTGGAAATAGTTTTAATTAACCCCTTAAGCCCACTGGCCTCCACTTTTGGGAGCACGCCTCCTACAGCAACATTTAACTTTCAACCATTTGTTATTACAGGCACTAACAGTGGGTCTAAGTTCATACGAGTGAGTAGTTAATATCTATGTTACTATTTATGGTTTTTTATTGCTTCTTTACAGTGAAAAGCTGCTGATGTGTAATTTATGGGCATATTTACATGTGTATATATGCATTGCATATATTCTGTTAACAGGAATGATGGCTGGCCCTTTGACACAAAATGTATTGATTTAGAAATTACTAAAATATTTTGCATTAAGTATACAATTCACAAGACTAGTAAACTGATATTGACCATACACTAATCTGGAAAGAATATGCTGTAAACACAAAAGCAGAAAAGTTTGGCTTTAGAAAAAAAGTTCAGGCAAATGAAACACCCAACAACAGCTTTTATTGCCCTGACAAAAACCTTCGAAAAATAAAAAAAGTCCACACAATGAGATGAGTCCAGAGCTTTTCTGAATTTCTCCGTGTATATGAGCAGTTCCATGGATTAGGACATCAGCTGCCTCTCACTAATGAGACAGAGATAAATAGCAATTAGTAAAAATGACATTTACACCTAGAGGCTGTCATAAACATTGTGAAAACAATACATATAGACATTAGCACTGTTCTTGTGTTTGTAGAATACATCCAGTCACACTGCTGTACATTTCTGTGGCTTTGTCTGGTCAACATTCATGGACAGCTGAAAGTGCATGGATGGTTGCCTGAGTAATGAGGTGAACAAAAGGACATCTTTCATGTAGACATTAGTCTGTCATGTTGCAGGTAACAAGATATTAACCATGAGTTATAGAGTGACAACAGTAAAGGCAAAAAATATTTTCATGTGATACAAAAAAATTTTCAGAATGCTGACCACGTTGTGTTGGTCCATGCCGTCATTGTCCTTAATCACGACACAAAAACATGACTTCATGCACAGCAGTTACAATTAATTTTATTTTGTTGTCATGCAATAATCTTCACTCATATTCACCTGCTCTCTGGGTGGAAAGCTGTAGGGTGTGTTAAAATACACATGGTCGGTGTCCTGTGGATTCAGAGGAAAGCAAATAATTGTATCAGTTTGTTTTACAGTTATCCAAAGAGGATTGACATTAGCACTTATTATACCACCACCATTGAAAGTTGACAACATATCAAACTTTCGGCTATTTAAAATCAACAAATAAACCACAAAAAATTGGAAAAGCTAAATACAGCAACTGAAAATTGTGGGACTACTGCCGTCTCAGAATCATTCCATCCCTGAAAGTGATGACCTATTTTCAAACAGGCAGGAGTAAGGTCTTCACTGACCATGGTGCTGCTTTCATGTTCTCTTTTTCTTTTTATCCTGAATACCGGTGGTACATTGGTAGAAAGGGTTGCCTGTCCCTCTTCTGTAAAATGGGCAAACTTCCTTCCATACCTGTAATAAACACATATTTTCATGAGCCAGAATGGAGATAAGTGTGACCATAAAAAAGTCATCGTTCAGGAAGCCCTGCAGCGTACCCTTCCAGGCCAAGGTTTTCTAATAGGACAATGCACCACCATCTTCGCAGGAGAAACATGTCATCCTAATAAAGACCACAGGTACACTATGAGGACACATTAGTCATAGTATATTAACAATATTTGAAAAGTAGTGATAGAATTTTTACATTTTTCTTTGTAAACTTACCACACTGAAGTCAAAGGATGCTTCCATAGCAAAGTACCAGGCATACTGTAGTGATGACACATTTTCAAACAATAAATATGAGACTGCTCAGTGACAGAGTGGGCACACATTTACACTAAAATATGTAGTGCAGATCATTACAATAAACTGTATATTAGAGAAGACATGATAAACTGCATGGATAGAATTAGCACTGTCCACAATCCATTTATTAACTTTATGTAATGCTGTTTTTGTTGTGGTTTTGTTTTGTTACTGTGTTGATTTTAAGTAATTCAATTGTGTAATGTAGCTTTACATGAACCTAACATAGTTCTTCAATTGAAGCCATGCAAAATACTACATGTTATCCAATCAGTGGCTCCAGCTTCTGTACCTGGAACTCAATTAACGTCATATAGAAAAATTTATTGGCTTAAAGATGCAATTATAAATAAGATATCCAACAAAAGAATACAAAAATCGTGTGTCACGTTATTGTATACGGCATTACCGTCACTTACCATTATCATGAAGACACCACAATCATTGCCATGTGTCTGCTTAGGAACACCCTGTATGACAGTTAAATTAAACAAATAACCGATAATTACATTTCAGTTTAATTTTGATATTGCAGGCAATACCTCCAAATCCAGAGCAGTTTTCTCCACCCAGGTTCCCACAGCTGTCTGCTGTGTAACATCTCTGAGTAACCCAAACAAAAAACAAAAAACAACAACAATGTAAAACTTAAAAAGCTGTATGCTGCTATGATTTTGTAAGAGATAAAAAATATAAGAAATTGATGGCATGTGAACCGTATCAATAGGCGTGTTTCCACTACAAGAACTTGAGGATAGATTTACAGGAACCTCCCGACATGTCAAACGGCCGTTTTCAGGAACCTTCTGAGTACCTGCTCTGGAGTAGCTGACTGGTTGTAACTCAGTAGGAAATGACATCAGCAGACGTCAAAAACAACTGGCATCAGTATAATTAGAAGAGTAGCTGGTGATGCAGAATGAAAAAAAGGCACCGATCGCATTAAAAGTCTAATTCCCAACACTGGAAGACTCTGTGTAATCCCCCCACAGCTGTTGGACAAAACGGTAAAAATCCACCACAGACTTAATTAAAGGGGCTTGTGTCTCAAAATTCAGAGCTGCTCTTGTCCTCCGAATGGATTAAATTAGAACATACTTCTATAAAATAAATGCTTTTATTATTATTAATGTCATATAGGGTGCTTTTTTTGGGCTGATCATTGACGTCAGTCACTGCCAAAGCAGTCGTGATATGCTGTTGTCTGTGGAAGTTCTGAAAGGGCTGAATTTGAATGGAGACACAACAGCTGAGAGGACTGGGACATCCTATCTCCTGGTCAAGTTCCCCATTCCAGGAACTACCCTGGAGTTCTGCTAATGGAAACATGCCTAATATCTGTAATCCACAGAACGGGTAACATGTCCAAGAACGGGACCATGCAAATTGGTAAATATTCATAATTTCCTAAAGTTCAAAAAGGATGTTGTCTTTCTGTCTTCCTCCCCTTTTCATTGCATTTCATATTTGTCTATTTTCTTCACTTTCAGCTATTTGAAGCAAATCTCATCTGACCCTATAACAAATGTGCAGAGCGGGGTACATTTATTATCACATTGCCCCCTGATTAAACTTATTTTGGGAAATTTTTGTAAACATTGGCAGGTCAGGATAACGTGACCACTAGGACACACAACACTGACAACCTCAACAGATTCCTGTAGGCCTGACTGGAGAAACCATCTGCTCTTCTGAAATAATGGGAATCCAGAAATGAAATTTCTTTCTGGAGTGGCCTCATTACCTACAGAAAATAGAACAGATGTACAATTAGCCAAAAACCACAGGAAACTCACAAATGACTTTAAGGTTAAAACACAGACATCATCTACAACATATGTCCTAACATGTTATGTTGATATTGTATGCCACTCACAAAATTGTTGTGTAAATGGTATAATGTTCTTACGCTCAGCAGAAAATGCCCTGGAATCCACAGTGGGATGATGATGGCATCTTTCTGGTCAGCATCTTTCTGTAAAAAAAATAAATAAATAATAAAGATTACAAGCATTTACATGATACTGGGTAGTGATTTGTTGGCAATGCAAGGCGAAGGGACATTTTATGTAGCTAAGTATTAGAGTATCCTGGCATTAAATTATCATGCATACAGTGTTTAGAGCCAGCAAAAACATTACACAAAAATCACAATTTATATTTTTTATTTACTGGGAAATGGAGCAGGGGATCGCAGTTGGTGGGAGGTAGCCATGTTCGTGTCACATGCAGGTCAGCGACAAAAACATCCCGTCCCTGTAGATAGAACGCATACAAAGATTTTGTAAGTGCTGAGTATGTCACCTATATATATATATATATATATATATATATATATATATATATATATATATGTGAGCATCAAATTTAAGTCCAGCATCAAGTTTCACCCCCAAACTGGTAACAACTGGTTTTGGTGAAAGTGGGCCAAGATCAACATAACGATCCACATTCCTGCTGTTGGGGTGAAACACAATGAGCTCTGTCTTTCCTCATTCAGATGTAGATAGTTGGCCATTAGCCAAGACTTCACCTCATTAACACAAGAGACAAAGGACTGAATAGAGTGACCTTTCTCCTGACACACACATCTATGTAATGCATGCAAGTCTAGTAATTTCCTTGTCCTCCAGCCACTTATTCTTAATTTCAAACCAACCTGCATCTTTGCCATCTCCCGGACTATCCTGAGACATGCATTCCCTATCTGTTGATGTAGAATAGAAGCAGCATCAATTAATTTTTAATGATTATTTATATGAAAACACACTTCAGCCGTAAATTGTACATTTGTTAAGCACCATTGCATCCATGTCTCTCTGAAGTCCAAGGGTCAAGATGTCACTTCTGGAAAGGCAAGTTGGTCCGTCTTTGATGATGAGCTCACTTCCAGGTCTTGTCACATCCAGGACATAATTGATCTAGGGTAACGAGTATTAAAAAAATTTAAAAAAAGAACAACTATTAATCTAAGAATTAACAATGATGACAGTATGCAGAAATATCTGTTTACCAGCTGCTCCTGTAGTGGATGATGACCCTTTATAGTCCATGAGGTTCTGCAGGGCTTTAGAGATGAAATGGCTGTTATGGCCTCACATTTCCTCGAACACTGATTAATGTTCACGGGATCCAATCCCACTGTATTTAAAAAAAGAACATCATCATGTCCTGCTCATGAGACATGTTTGTCTAACAAACCATTTATATAGATGACTTGAAAAAAAAAAGGACGGCAAACTACCTTTGGGATCTGCTGGAAGTGGAGTTCCGCTCAGAACAAGTGTACTTTCTAGAAAATATAATTTAACCATAAATATAGATGTGCATACAATACATTACATATTCCTAACAGTTGATTTTAAATTACGAACCCATTACAGCCTTCCCAGATGAATCCAGTGTGATATCTGCTGATGATATTTTATGAATGTCGCCCAGGGTGTTCTCATTCAACATGGTATTGTGATGATGAATGATAGCGCGCATGAGAAAGATATGGCTCCCCGGAGACATCATATTTAGAAAGTAGTTATTCTTCCTCATTTTGGAGAACAACTGCTCTGCTACTTGAGAATTCACCGAACCGTGCAGTTCGGGTACCAGTGAAATTTTCCTCAAGCAGTCTTTTACTTCTCTGGTGTTGGCCTCGTGGAAAGTGTCATACAGAGCATAGTGTTCAGCTGAACCTGTAGAGGGGTGTGCATTGCTGTCTGCACGCTCCTTTTGAACCTTCAACCATGGCAGGTTTACTTTCAGATCACCTTTCTGGGCAGACTGAAGGTGTTCTGGCGTGGCATCAGCAAGTCTGCCTTCGTTTGGCATAAAGGGGATTTTTAAAGGTTCACGCAGGTTTGTGTGCGTGGCCAAACCTCTTGCAAAATCATAGATGACTACATTAGGAAAGTGCTTAAATGATAGCAACATATCACAATAGTCCCTCGGACTTTCTGCCCTCACATTGAACTTCATAGAATTCACGATTCCACAGGGGCACATTATAACTGCCCAGCCACCTTAACAAGAAACAAAGAAAGGGACGTTAGAGTATATATAGAGTATATATGTATACACACACACACACACACACACACACATACACATATATATAAATATGTGTTTGTGTGTGTGTATATATATATATATATATATATATATATATATATATATATATATATATATATATATATATGTGTGTGTGTGTGTGTGTGTGTGTATACACACACACACTTAAAGTTTCTTTGTGTCTGGATAAGCTTACCTTATCCCAGGTATCCCCTGGTCCCAGCTGCTTTGAAAGCAGCAGTTATTCGGCCGACCCTGAAGAAACTTGGTGCTGATGCCTCTGTGATAGAAAATTACAGGCCTATCTCTACCCTGCCTTTTACATCTAAACTGCTTGAGAAAGTTGTTTATCAGCAGCTGGTTTCACATTTAGCTGACTCTGATCTGTTTGAGGTTTTCCAATCAGGGTTCAGGTCTGGCCATAGCACAGAGTCAGCTCTACTGAGGGTCCTAAATGACATCTATCTATCACTATATCAAGGAACATCTGTGCTGCTTATGTTTTTAGACCTGACAGCAGCCTTCGACACAGTTGACCACGTGATTCTACTCGATTGCTTGGAACGATGGGTTGGGATCAAAGGGTCAGCTCTGGACTGGTTTAGATCGTATCTCCACAACAGGACATTCTGTGTTAAACTGGGTGATGTTTTTTCTTCTTGGGAGGGGCTCCGCTGGGGGGTCCCGCAGGGGTCGATCCTTGGTCCTCTTTTGTTTGCCATTTATCTGCTACCTCTGGGGTCAATCTTTCGTAAACATGGCCTATCATTCCATCTCTATGCTGACGATTGCCAGATTTACTCTCCATTGTGTCAGGAGAAAGGTCACTCTATCCAGTCCTTTGTGTCCTGTGTTAACGAGGTAAAGTCTTGGCTAATGGCCAACTATCTACATCTGAATGAGGGAAAGACAGAGCTCATTGTGTTTCACCCCAACAGCAGGAATGTGGATCGTTATGCTGATCTTGGCCCACTTTCACCATACGCAAAACCAGTTGTTACCAGTTTGGGGGTGAAACTTGATGTAGGATTTAAATTTGATGCTCACATCAATTCTGTGATCCGGTCCAGTTTCTTTCACCTGAGATGCCTTGCAAAAATCAAGCCTATGCTGTCGAGAGCCCACCTGGAGCGGGTACTGCATGCCTTTGTAATTTCTCGGCTTGACTACTGCAACTCTCTCTATGCAGGGTTGTGTCAGTCATCACTGCGCCGCCTACAGGTTGTGCAGAACAGCGCCGCCAGGTTCCTGACTGGGACCAGGAAACGGGACCACATCAGTCCGGTTCTGGCCTCCCTGCACTGGCTTCCGATTTGCTATCGCTCACAATTCAAAATCCTCGTCTTTGTTTATCATTTCTTCCAGGGTGGTGGTCCTCCCTATCTGGCCACTCTCCTGAACAAACATTCCCCATCACGTGCTCTGCGCTCCTCTGACCAAGGTCTGCTCGCTGTCCCTCGTTCTAGGTGTCGTACCCGTGGGGACCGGGCTTTCTCAGTCCTAGCACCGCTACTCTGGAACCAGTTGCCACCCTCAGTCAGGCTGTCCCCCTCTCTGCCAGTCTTTAAGAATCACCTAAAAACTCACCTCCTCCGCTTAGCGTTTCCAGAACACGTTTGATTTTGGCCCTCTTTTATGTTGAATTCATTCCACAGTTTTCATTGGTACACTCAATCCATCCACTCAATCCACTTTATCCGAATGTTTCATCTATCTTGTAATTTACATTTTGTATTTTGTAATTTGTATTTTGTAATTTGTATTTTGTAATTTGTATTTTGTAATTTGTATTTTGTAGTTTGAATTTCTTTTATTGTTGTTTTATTCAATATATTTAGTACCATGTTCAGCACTTTGGGCTTCCTGACAGGGTTGCGGAAGGTGCTTTATAAATAAAGCTTTGATTGATTGATTGATTGATTTGCTTACCAGATGCACCCCACACTTTGGAAAAGACCTTGTCAAAAGCACTGCGACTTTTCATCTGCTCTTTCAACCTGATGACAAGATCCATTTTGGAACCCGTGGACTCAAGGCCACATTGTTTGGCCAGCTTTCGCACTGCATCAACCTGTGACAACATGGGCAAATATTTGAACAGGCACAGAAACTTGAATGCAAAGATGCTAACATAAATTAGATTAAAAGTATGGGTTGTTTTCAGGTGTTTTTGTTGTGGTCTGTTAGCCCAGGCATCACCGCTAATCTCACCTTCAAGTTGATAATTTCATTAATCAATCTGTCCTCAGATATATCCATCTCGGCCTGTTCTGCAGAGTTTGCCCGCTTGCTGCATTGACCCTTCTGATATTCTGTGTTTAATAACAAGTTGTTTGCCCTGGTGTGTGGTCCTATCCAAGGTGCCCATTTGTGGTAGGATGGTGATATGACACATGGATTTGCAGCATTACCTAGAGAAGGAACAACCAAGAAAATAACACACAGCCTCCTTCGCTTTACTAATGCAAGAAATATTAAAGTATGCATTTGTGGACATCTGGCACAGTGCACCAGTAAAATGATAACTTTTCAACAACACTGTTAACCTCACATTTTACTGTTTCTAAAATGAAACTCCTTACATATTTTTATTTCATTCAAATCCTGGAGCCCAATGCAATGGTGTTGACTAATCATTACATCCCACTTTAAAAGTGAGACCAGCCCCAGACAGCTCAACACTGGTATTTGCCATAGCATTGGACACAACTAAATGCAATTAAGATATGGAGGAATTTGTTCGATTACAACTCAGAAAAAGAGGCCTTTTGGGTGCTCTATGACTGTCATCTGCTTCCAGCATGAACATAACGGCAAGCCACAGAGCATCATGGGAGCATGATTGTCTGACGAAGGCACTATACAAAAACGTGTCAGTGACAATAACAAAATTTAACAGAAACTAAAGTTTTACAATGCATGTGGCTGGGGTCCCGCTAGTTCCACTTCCACCTATGCTACTTTTTCTTCCCCTTAACTGTTGGGATCGCTACAAATCCTGTCTCCCACATAAGCTTGGCCTTATCATTCATTTTTTATAATTGAAAATTGAAATCGTCACCTACTCTTCACAAAGCCTCGACAAAGAATTTCTTGGCTCACAGAATGCCAGAAGTCATCAACATCCACTTGGCCATCAAATTCAGGTGGTGGTTGTTGGAGGTCACACACTGAAAATGTAAAACACAAACAAACATTGATTGGACATTTTAATGGGTTGTGGGATTACAATAAAAATGAAAATAATGAAGTACATACTTGGCATACTGAACACTCCTTTCTTGTGCAAATCTATAATCACAACGGGGGGGGGGGGGGGGGTGATGTCCATAGTTTACACAAGAAAATTCATATTTGTGGGATGACAGCGCTTCAAAATGAAGGTACCCATGAAGAATCGAATCAGGATCTGGATACTTTTGATTGTTTGTACTCTGCAAAGCCTTCACAACTCTCGCCACAGCTGTATGGTTCTAGAAATGGATATGAATATAAACCTGTCAGATAAAGTGGGTTGACAAAGTATTCAGATGCATTCAGATCACATTCCAGCCTTTAGCTAAAATTGTTTAAAATTCAGTTTAAAACTAAATCTACAACCCAATATGCTATATACAAAATTAATATAAAAAAGAAGAAACAGAAACATCACTTGGAGTGTAATCAGACCCTTTGCTATTTTCTTCATCGTCTTTGAGATGACTACAAACCTTGATTGTACCTTTCAGAAAACAACAAAAGTTCAAGCTCTTTTTGGTTAGGGCTTTTTTGTGTGTGCATTTTTTTACCTGTATGGAGTTCCTCAGAAAGAGACAGAAATGATGTGTCAAAA